AAAGATTAGGTTGCATCAGCAAAAGGGCTTTGCTTTAATTACAAAGATCGAGTTTAAATCTCCAAGATACTGGACACATTCATCGATAAATAAAACCTAGTTTTAAAAACAAATCAAAACAGATCTTTGCAACACAGATTGTTGCTCAGTAACTTTCTCTAGTTGAACATCTCAATATGTACAATGGCTTAGTGTAGAACATGATCCCATAATACATTTAAAGTGTGTCCCACTCAATATCATAAGATAAAAGCTGTAATTTATTGGGTTATCTTGTGAAACTATTAACTTATTGTTTTGGCACACAAAGGCTTTCTTTCCTAATGGTTAAGTAAATCATTATAAGGCGTCTCATGCCAGAGAGAGCAGTCGGTAACACACAGCTCTGCTGTCAAAATGGTACCAGCATTATGTCACATTCTCCTCCAGGTTTGCCTTTATTGTATTTTATGTTTCATAATCAAGTTAATCTGATACCAATCTTTAAAATAGACTGATTCAATACAGGATCAGTCTACCAATAGCTGATATATCCTGCCAATATCTATGGGCCGATTTGACCTTTTCTTGCTTCATTAACATGATAAAAAAGACACAATTAGAAAAAATATTAAACAGTTTAAACAAAAATAGAAACATTTATGATGGGGCTGATCAATTTGGCCAAAAAGGTAAAATTGAGATCCTTTTCAACCAGTGTTTCAAATATATTTTGGTTTTCCTTTGCACTAACCACCAGCATGTAGATGGTTCACCCCAAGGTTTTTTTAGGACTTAGAAAGCATGCATGTCCAGAGACCTTTGTTGTCGGACTTTACCGTAACGTTTGTGTGGAAAAACGTCTGACTTCTGCTATTCTCTCTTTCCTTCTGTTTGGCTGCAAACCACTTTAAATCTAATCCTGCCACTTAAAGGACTGGAGTTTAGTGTCTTACTCTTGTTAAATGTAATGTGACCAAAACTGAGTGCCTCTACCATTATAAAAAAAAAAAAAAAATTTGTTACATTGCATTTATATTAAAATGCAGCTAATTGTCCAGCACTAATTTATTATAAAAGTCAAGGGTATGAAATCAAACTAAACAAAAGATGCAAATAGGACAAGTACCAATGCATGCGCGTTACCCGATCTTTTTTTTTTTTTTACCCGATCTTGAAGCATGGCTGAATGCGCTAAGCCTGTCTGTGCTCTCAGCTGCAGACAGATTCTGATTTTAAGGAACCTGACAGTCACCACCTTCCAGTTTCTGTTTCCGCTCACTGTCTCACCCTCTCAAACCTCAAGAGATTTTTAAAGCTTCCCTTCTTATACGTCTTAAATCCTGTACTTTTGTCCTTTTTCAACAGATATACTGTGAAATTCAAAGCTGTTTAGATCTTGCAGCTAATAGGATGTTGTTTTTGCCACACTGTCGCTTTAGGTGAACATCTTCAACGGGGCCAACATGGAGTCCATGATTAACTTCACCGGCTCTCAGGTAAGCTGCTGGGTTCAGTAAACGATGTATAGGTGCATACACGGGTCAGAGTTATGCATCCATGTAATATAGGTTTATTCAACACTATTTTTTATTTATATTCTGGATGAAGTACTAAATATGGCCTCGTCTTATAAAGTCAAAAGCCACCATTCAAATGCTGTGTAGTAGAAACAGTTATTTCATATCTGAGCATAACTATCCAAGAGAATGAGTGAAATTACAAGTTGAATCTCCAGTAATTGCAAAAAAGTAAACAAAAAACAATCCACTGGACTTTTTTTTCCAAGTTTGTAGACTCTTCGCCTCCCATCCAGCAAGCTTTTTCAATTCTTTCAAAAACTTTTTCGTGAATTGAAAAAAAGCTTCCTGGATGGGCCCTTAAACAACGCCACATTTGGTCTGTGTTGAAGGACCCAGAGGTCGTTCCTCCTGTTGATGCCCACGTTTTCTGCAGGCGTGGAAAGACTCATGTGAGTCCTGGTCTGGACTGAGCAACCAGCCCTGGACCCACTCTTTGGGGAGCTCTGGATCTGCTTCCAACCCAACTTTGATGTGGTTTGCTAATGTCAAAACAAACCAGACTGGATCCAACCCAACTGCAGAAAACATACATCCCTTAGATTCTGGAATCATACCCCATTCCCCGAACTGTAAAGTGAACTGTAACCTGTAGAGGTTACAGTTCACTTTCAAAGAGGATCATTTGAAATGAAAACTGTGCCAAACAAAAAGAAACTACTGTAAATCTGCAGCTGGTTTGGACCATCAAAGCAGACTGAGGACCTAATATACCCCCACTAGCCATGTTTTCATTCCACTGAAATGCAAATTTCAATAATTTCATATTTTCATAAGCGAACTTTAAAAAATAGGTTAAAGTCCTGTCAGACTTAGCTTAGGCTAGTGGCTGCATAATGGAGCTTAGAAATGACCCAAGGTTAGCATTAGCATTAGAATAAGTAGACCTGGTAACTGGCTGGCAGTAGGTGTGTAACAAGAGCATCCAATACATATGTCCCACTTACTGGTAGAGGGGAGTTCAGGGGAAGTTTGTAACATTCAGATATTTCACATTTAATGACAGAACCCTTTTTTTTTTTTTTTATTGAAATTTTTATTTGGAAAAGCAAGTTACAATTACTTTGTACATTCAAGCCTCCACCACAGTGGAAATATGGGAAAGAACAACATAAGCGATCCAGAGTTTTTGTATAATAACCAAACATCTATAACTGAAAAGCGAGCGAGTGGGAACATGAGGTCAATTTTTCCTTATATTTGGGGAAAAACACAATCCAGGACATAAGCCTGCCAATAGGGTACAATACACAGCACAACTGTATTTGCATGTGATCAGACAAGTTTAGATCACAGGGATTACTGATTTTACATAGTTTGTCCACTTAGACCAGATCCTGAAAAATGATTCCCTTCGTCCTTGGACAGAAAAAGTTAGCTTCTCCAGCATGTAAATGTCCTGCACTATGCTAAACCAGTCCTCAACTGTGAGTGTCTTTTTAATTACAGCCAGCAGCATTAACAGCTGTTTTTTTGAAAGGACCCTTTTTAATACTTTGGCATTGATTAGGCCCCAAATACAAGTGTGAACACACAGATTTAATGAGAACAGTCCTTTTTCAGAAACCTTCAGATGCCACTTTGTGACACTGTGATCTACAGTGTGACAGAACAACCAGCGACCTCAAAGAACTGCTTCTTTTTTGTTAAAACCAACATCAGAAATATTGAAACTGTTCAGGAAAACTACATTGTTTCAGGAAAAAGTTCACCCTGTCAGAATCTTCCTAGACTGTGGGACAAATCTCTTGGTCCTTCAGGATCTTGTTAACACTGAATAAACTCCTGATGCTGATAAAGGGCAGTAGGTTAAACAGAGTGGAAGAGAAGCTGTCAGCAGTGGAGTTCAGGACAGAGTTCCTGCCCATCCTGAATAAGTCCCCCTCTTAACCCAGCAGCCTCTGTTTTATCAGCTTGTCACTGTCCAAGCTCTCCATGTTCCCATTAATAGCTCTCTGATAAAAAGCACTGCCTGTGGAATCGGCCTTTTCCTGTTTTCACAGCCAGATCTAGTGACAGGCCAGTTTTCTGAACGCCTCATCTTACTTCCCCTCCTCTTCCCTTTTTCCTTCAGATGGCCGCCTACTTTGGACATTCAGTGGCTGCCTCCGATGTTAATGGTGATGGGTAAGTGCTCTTCCTGTCTGCCTCAAAGCCGTCTTTTAACAGCTGACATTTCCTGGTAGTAGGTCTGCATTGACTAAAAAGGCTTAATAAACCACGCGTGTAAACCACCGCCAAACCGGCTTTGATGATGTTTAAGTGAAACCAGGTTCAGGCTTTGGTGACATCATTAAAGACAGAGGTCATATTTAAAGTTTTTATGGTTCTGCTTTTGTTGATTTTGAGGAGTATTTTCTTGTCAAAATTTGATGCATTGCAGCTTCAGAAGGAAAATTCATTGGCACCCCTAGTGAGCATTATAGGCCTCTTTACCAAGGACTTCCTGTTTAGGCGAGATGAGTGGAGGATCTGTCACACTAAAAGTTAAAGTTCATGTCATCAAAAACAGTTTAATTAGGTTAACATTTGCTCGCTAAGGCAAACTATGAAGTGTATTTTGTTCCATTATTGTTGCAAGCAAAGAACACGAGTTGTAAATGGAAGTTAAAAAAGAAATTAAACTTTTTGACAGTCAATTTACTGGTTTGACTGATTCCTTCATTTCAATTGTTTTCATGATTTATTTTTCAAATGTTATGTTATTTCAAAAGCGGTCATATTTTTTATTTGCTAGTTTTATTTTTCAAATTTTTGTGTTTTTCAGAATGGATATTGTAAATGTGTATATTTCACAGATCCCCTTCTTGTCACGTTAAACCAAATGGAAATGCTCCCTCGTGACAATAAAAATGTTGCTGCTAACATCCATGCAGACCAACAGAAATGCATGTTCATTCCTCACTCCTGATTAAAGACCAACTAGAGAAAAGAAGAGAATCTGATCTGAAAACACAATTTGAAAAAAATGCAGGTTGTAAAACTCGATCTGAAAAAGAGAAATAAAAAAAAATTTGAAAACAAGAATCTGTAAAACATCTTTTTTTACATTTAATGTTTTTTTAATTATACACAAATGTTTTTAAAGTGAAGTATAAAAGATATAAAAATATATTTTTTAAAACTATAAAATATGTATATATATATATATTTTTTTTTTTAAACTAAAAGATCACTCTCAAAAACTTTTTGTTTTTGTCATTTTTAAAGTTTTTTTTCCTGACGGCATTTTTTATTTATTTATTTTAGCTTACAAAATATGTTCTTTGCCTGCAACAGTAAAGTGAACCAAAATGAAGGTCATCTTTTGGCCTGTCAGTAGGATAATTAGTCAGAAAGTAGAAATTAATCATAATAACCAAATCAGCTTTTTTCCATTCTCTGCATCAGGCTCCAGACCTAACACCTACAGGATTATCTGCATAAAAAAGAGCAGAGGATAGAAATTAAGACTCTAGATAATGTAGAAAGATTGTGCCAATGCTGATAAATCTTGCGCATGATTTATATAAATTTTCCAGAAACAAGTTTGTCTTTCATCCAGGAAACGCATTCATTAAGTGAAAGATACAAATGAGATTTATTTTGAAAAACAACGATAAACAAATGAGGAAAACTTCTTCTTTCTGTCTCTGTTTCAGTTTTGTTGATTTGCTGGTTGGAGCTCCTCTCTTCATGGACAGAGGCCCAGATGGGAAACTGAGGGAAGTGGGACAGGTAGGAAGATGATGCACACCATTCAATGACTGTACTTATGTAGCAAAAGAGCTGAAAAGGGCCAAGATGGATCAGTGTTAACACACTTTGGTAATTTTCACACTTCATGCTCACTCCCTATTGTATACTAAAATCTGTTTGGTTTGGTTTTGATTCTACTAAGTGAGCCTAAGGACGATCGCCACACTTAGGAGGGGGTAAACATTTGTTTAGCAATCACAGAGGAAGTATGGTACTCTCAGCGTAAGGATTTATGAATACCAAGAAAACCTTCTACCAAATAAGGCCAGATATTACAAATATTAGCTCTAGTCCATCGGAGAAAAAGTGCGTGGGCAGGGAGATGCTACAGCTGACAAAGGCAAGCTATAGAACCTAATTCGGGGGATCAAAGGAGCCCAGCGAAAGATTGGATAAGTAAGCCGGAGAAACAGCGCCAGGGTAGGAAGAGGCTACAGCTGACAGAGGCTAACTGCTGTGGATTAAAACAGAACAGAGCAGGATAAGATAAGTCTGGATCATTGAAGAAGGGGGATAGGGTACAGATGACCAGGAGGAGGACAGCGGGGCTTTGGAGAAGCCCACCAGGTAGACAAAGCGTAGAGAGGCTATGGCTGACAGAGGCTACCCTCTAGGCTAACTGCGGGCAATGGAATGTGGACAGTAGAGATGCATGCCCCATGCAGACAGTGCAGGGGAGCTGGAGAGAGAAGGCAGCAGCTTCCTGGAGGCTGCGCTGGAGGTAGGACCACGAAACAGTCGGTTAAAATAAAACAGCCTTTTTAAAAGCCGACCACAAACCTCCTAAGTGCTTCCCCATTTCATCCTTTATTATTTTCTTTATCTTCTATGTTAATTAGAAAAAGTTTTTCTCTGCTGCATCATTCACTTAAACAATGATCAATTCATGAAACTTCCTCATCTCTTCATTTTAAGCCTAAATAATTCAACCTCAATGCTAATTTTCGACTCCGGGTTTTACTGATCCTTTTTAAAGCTTGCACTCAAGATGATGTTTTTGGTCCTATCTCTGTTGGAAAACAATAGAAGGATGGTGTATCTGCCTAGCCTGACGTAGTCCTACTCAATTCTAGTCAGAATATGAGTCTGATATTGCTCCATAGAGCTGTGATTATGGGGCGTGTTTCGAACGAACCAGGAAAAAAAATGCCTCTGCACTCAATTGGATAGACCTACAACCAATAAGAGCAATGGAGTGCGTGGCGTATGTTAAGCCAGGCATAGTTGTTGTCAACAAAAATCAAAGCGTTCAGTTGCACGCCTAGAATAAGAAGATGAGCCTTGATCGCGTTTCTCTGTTCCTCTTTTAAAATTAATTTGCTGTTGATATCTTCTAGAACAGACCTAATAGCAGAATCTACACACCTCAACTCTCCAGCGGCAGCCGTTGTTGTTGTCACCCATGCGCCCTTTAGTCATGTGGTTGACGTTACTGTTAATCATCTGTCCATCATCGTATAAAGCCCGCCCTGACAATTTGATTGGCCCGCCAGATATTGTGCTAGCATACTCGCGCTACTACTGAGCAATGCCAGACCGAACTTCCCGACCTCAAACGTTGTGGGCGGGACTAAGTTCGGAATGGCACCCAGGCTAGTATCTACCTCCCAGGCACGCTGAAAAAATTATATATAAATAAGTAAAACATTTTTTAAGTACATTTATTTTCCCATAATTTTGGGAGGTAAAGATGATCCACCAATGAAAATAATATTGTTTTTTTTTAAATAAAATGTTATTAAATTTGGACTGATAAATAGCAATTGGGGTGTTCAGACGGGTGTGAAAAAGTCTGTTATGAGTTGCATTTGAGGAAATGGATTGGATTTGGGTCAGATTAGCCTGAAGTGTGACGATAGCCTTAATGTACCCACCAGATAAAAAAAAAAATAAAAATTTTTTGGAAAAAGCATCCTGAATACCTATGCTGTGATGATGACGCTGAATATAGGTTGCATTTTGCAACTAATCAGTAGCAAAAAAACAAACTTGTCTCCTTGGAGATATTTCCACTCATAGAGATACAATCTGGTGTTCTGTGGTTAAGTAAAGAAGCAACACCTTTTGTTTACCTATTGTTGTTGTTTTTTTTATGCATTTTTTTAAGTTCAACTGCAGATGTACTAACATTAAACTACCTTTTCTTTTAAAGTAAAAAAAAGGAATCTTACTCTGCCAAACTATTACAGTACTATTTATATAACAATCAGTACTATTATATATAACAACCATATTTTTGTCATTTTACTCTGAAACAACGCAGATTTCATTAGTTGTTATTTAGGGTTACAATACTATTAGGATTATTTGCTAACTTATAGCTGATTTTTAACCAATGTAATCATTTTTCCTGCTTTTTTGGCAGGAGTGAGTTGATTCTTAAACTTTTTGTCAAAATGTTTTATAAAGCCTTTCATCAAGCCTTTTAGTTTATCTGTCATATTTCTGCTTCAAAGTCCTATTTAATGAGATTCCAGCAAATGTGGAGCAGTGATCCCAATTTCTCATGCAGTCTATAGCTTAGAGTAATGCAGAAGTAACACCTTTCTAATTGCTGCACACTGAAGGCAACAAGTTAAAATATGATTTCAACACTCTTGCTCCTTACAACAACAGCAATTTAGGCTTTTGGTGTTAATTCTGGTGAAAAAGATAGAAACAAAGTCACTTATTCCTATGGATAAAATAAACTTACAGTAACCAATTTGTTAAAAAAAATAAGGTTAGCAGCATTTGAAATAATAATTGCTTATTGGTGGCTGACATGGTACGGTATCAGGCTTCTAATAAAGGTCCTTTCTCTAAGAACTCTATCAGAACCCTGAAACACTGTATGTTCCTTTATGAGAATGACAACTAACAGCAGTTTGGTGTTATGTTTCATCCTGCATATCTATCCAATCAATAATAATCTGGCACCAGTGTGTGAAATACTAAACATACAGGTCGGATTTTCAGTTTTTGTGATCAGAAAGGTATCAATTAGAGAAATCTGTTTCCTTTAAGCAGACAGAAAACGTATGCTGGCTTCTAGCTGCACTAAGCTGAGATGGATCAAAGAGTCACACCTGCAGGCATGCTGCTCTGCAGATAATAATCATATCAATATTTCTGTTTCCAAATGTTAATTTGACCTTGTAAACAAAATATATATACAGTTGTTTCTTAAATTAAACCACTCTTTAAACTGATTCCCTTTTAATATCTGTGTTACATAATTTGAGAGGATTTCTTTCATTTAAAAAATTCAGGATGAATATTTTGCCTTTTTATAGAAATACTTAGAAATGCTTGATTATTGAAGATGACTGGATTGGCTCCAATTTTTCCATGAAGTGACGAATAAACTATTTAACCTTAGATCCAGGAAGACTGAAAACACACGAAGGAAAGATGATTTCTTGCTGCTTTAGCTAACAGTTGGGTCTTCTCTTCAGGTGTCCGTGTACCTCGGTAGAGGCGGCTTCTCGTTTCTTCAGCCTGAGCTGCTGACGGGATCAGAGGTTTATGCCAGATACGGCTCTGCCATCACAGCAGTGGGGGACCTGGACAAGGATGGATACAATGGTTAGATCCTTTGCCATTTTTAGGGAAATTTTTTTCCTAGTTTATACTCTGTAGTCATGTTTGGGTCATCAAAAAAGGTTTTTAAACATATAGGAACTCATCAAAGCCATTATGACTTGAAGGATTCAGACTATTTAATTCACATAACAAAACTGAATCTTGTTGCTACGTTACATTAAATTCCATGATGCTAATTTGTTACAAAAGACCAATACTAATCCCAGTGGTTATGTTACTCCTGTCTCCTCCACTCTCAGATGTGGCCATCTCTGCTCCCTATGGAGGCGCAGACAGAAACGGCTTGGTCTACATCCATAATGGCAACGCGTTGGGGCTCAACGCTACAGCTTCTCAGGTAAACTTAGACAGTTTGCTTTAGACATTAGCCAAAAGTGAATGTCAACAGTGAAATGCAGCTGACAGTGATTTTGTGGATGGCGTTGGAGAAGGTCAGTTATTATCGGAGAAAAAGATCAATTCAGTTTGGAATCCGCAGCTGACCTTTGAAAAGATTAAAGCAGTAAATACACTGGACCTGTGAACTGTGAAACCAGATGTTGTGTTTTTTGTTTCTTCTTAGCCCAAACTGGAGCATATACCTCTCTGAAATTAAAAGCTCATCATAAATTAGGAACAGCTTCACCTATTACGTGTCCAAAAACAATTATACTTATGCTGTTACGTGTCCGCCGTTTTTACTGCATAAGTCAGAAGTCCTCCGTCCTTAAAGTCTGACCGATGTCCCAGCTCTCAGAAAAATCAAACAAGGAGATCCTGTTCGTAACACTAAATTGTTATCGAAAAAGTCCTAGTCATACTCAAAAAAAATAGAGATTGCTGGTCTTTCTTCAAACAGCAATAATTAATCCTTGCAAGGAAGAACTGATACCGTCTTTGGAAATATTTTGTCTGTTCTTGTCAAACAACACATTCATCAATAATAATTTTTTTTCAAACCTTTCATTGTCCTGAATCAAACCAATAACCGTTGGGTCATCTGCAACCATCAGGAGTTTTCACCGATGGGTCCACTAAAGTGCAGTTACTTATGTAAAGAGAGAAGAGAAGTGGGCGAAGAAAACAACCCTGGGTGTCGCCTGTTCTGATTGTTCTTGTGCAAGAGAAGATGCCTCCCAGCCTCAGTCAGGCATGTGTAGGCCGGTACTGTTAGCTGGCTGGACTTCTGGTAGATGATATGTGGGTTGATGGTGTTGAGCGATGAGCATGAGACCTCAAACAGGACCCTGGTATATGTCCTTTAGTGGTAGAGGTAATAATTGTTATAAGAACTGTAGATAATGACTATGGTAAGATCAACAATGTTTGAAAGGGTTAAATTCAGCTGTTCTGATCTCGATAACTGCAGAGAAAGAAGACTTCTTTAACTAAACGCAGAAAAAGGACATGTACAGTAGCTAGTCCTTCGCGTCCTAGCCACCTTTCCAAGTATCCGTTGAGCTTTAGCCAAACAAAAATATTTTTATTAAAAGGATGGTTTATCTGTTTAACTTATCGATTTAATAGTTCAAGTGGAGCATAAAGCCATGTGCTTCTATCCCATAGCAGAGTTGTTGGAGTAGAAATATGGGGGATTTTGTCTGAGTTTGTTTAATTAGTGTCTTTATTTCTGAGTAGCATTAAACTGAGGAACCATTTCCTTCAGACATTCACAATAAGAGCCTTTAACATAAAAATACTTCAATCTAAGCCTCAGATATTGTGTTTTCGCTTTTAATTAAAAGAGTTTAAAGTTCCCTTGAAGCTGAATCAGGGTTTGGCACATTTGTGGTTCAAAACAAAGTTCTACTTCCATCACATCTTGTCTGTTTCGCAGGTCCTGAAGGGTAAGTGGGCGTCCAGCTACATGCCTGCTAGCTTTGGATATTCCATGACAGGAAATACCGACATCGATCAAAATGGATATCCAGGTAAAAATAGAAAATAACAGAAACTCACACAAACATGTTATAAAGAGCCTCAGAAAAGAGCTAACATGCTGCTGGGAATAAAACCCAACTGTGATCTTGTCAAACAGATTTAATAGTTGGAGCATTTGGAGCAGACAAAGCCATTTTATACAGGTAATCCCATCTAAATCTAATTTTCTGTGTCCTGGTATGTGTGTGGTGCACATGTGTACGAATGGGTGGGTTTGTGTGTGTAGTGGGGGATGTAGTCCCCTGCTGTGGCTGTGTGATGCTTCTGACTAAAAGTGAGGAGTTTAATGAGCGAGGCCACCTCTGATATCAAAGAGCTACTGTTTTTCATTCACCTCACTCCTACTGGCTTTATAGAAGCTGAGGGCACGTTTGCTCCTAACTGCACACAGGAATATTCACTGCATACTTTATATTTACTCCTTAGTATAACAATACATTAACCTTTCCTAATCCAAGAAAATCTCTGTAAATACTGAACCTTAAACCTGTATTTATTGTAACAAAACTTCATGAACCTACTAGAGTTGGTCACCTTTAGTCAGCCATAAATATGTGGGAAGTGATTTGCCCTTTTCTGTTTTTCTGTGCATCAGAGCTCGTCCAGTAATCAATGTGAACGCTACTATAGAAATAACCCCCTCCATCATCAACTCAGAGGAAAAATCCTGCACCATTCCTGGTACCAGCACTGCTGTGTCATGGTGAGTGTTCCCCTTTCAGATGAGACGTCCTTTTTTATCCCGACACAGTATGATTTCTGATAAAAATAGATTTCTGTTCTTTTATGAGCTTTTGAAGGTAACTTTTGGCTGGTAGCACTGATTACTACTAAAGCTATCCATGATCCTTAAGTTCCTCATTTGCTTTCATATATTAAACTGAAACCAACAGATTTGTGTCTATTCAAACATTTAGATTTGTTCAGAATCTGCTTCTACTCTTATAAATCTGACTGATTTTACTTTATTTTTAGTTTTAAAGTGAAGTACTGTCTGGCTGCTGGCGGCGTTGGAGCTCCATCCTCTCTGAGTGAGTAAAACAGCTGCAGGACATGCTACTGATCGTAGCTGTCTGCTAGCCACCTGTGTGGCTACCACAGTAAAGAGTGGAAGGCTAACATTACCTGAGTTGGTTTTACTGGTTTAAATTTAGACAATGTCACACTGCATCACTTCCTCAAAGGTCTCTGGAGCCATTTATAGACTCAAAAGAAGAGAGATTGCTGGTCTTTCTCCGAACAGCAATAATTAAAGCTGAAGTCTGTAAGTTTTTAAAAATCACTTTTTTGTCATATTGGCTAAAACTGTCCCTATGCCCAGATAGCAGTACATGTGATATGTAACCTGTGAAAAAAACTGCTTCAATTGGTCCCGCCTACTGCCGGTATTTCAATCTGGAAAGAATAATTCGGGACGAGTCAAAACAACCAATCACAGCCAGAGGAGCGTCTGATGGAGTGTCAATCACAGCTCACATACGCTGAATCCCCCCCCCCCCCCCCCCCCCCCCCCCCACCCCCCCCCCCCCCTCTCACCGCTTAACCTGCCGCCCGGCTGCCACAGTCAGGAGGACGCGCGTGGAAGTCATGGCGGACCGACAGCCACCAGCGAAAGAGAAACTGCCATTACTGCCCCTGCCGACAACTGCTTACACAGCAAACTTCGGTATAACCAGCATCTTATATTTAGCTGCTTGGAGGTGAGTGTTATCGCTCTTACCGGTTCATACTCCATGTCGCGTACGCTGCTTGGATGCTTCTGGTCGCATGCGGTAGCCGCGCAGATGCTGTGAGAGGGGTGTGAGTGGGGCATGAGTGAAGCAGAGAGGGTGGGGGAGTGGCGTGAAACCTGCTTTTCTTCAAATTTTCAGTCGAAGTCTGCTCTCTTCTCAATGTTACAGACTGCAGCTTTAATCCTTGCAAGGAAGAACAGACACCGTCTTTGGCAATATTTTGTCTGTTCTGGTCAAACAACACATTTATCTATAATAATTTTTTTTCAAACCTGTCATTGTCCTGAATCAAACCAATAACCGTTGGGTCGTCTGCAAACATCAGGAGTTTTCACCGATGGGTCCACTAAAGTGCAGTTACTTATGTAAAGAGAGAAGCCAACTGTGTGGCTACCACAGTAAAGACTGGAAGGCTAACATTGCCTGGTGTAAATTTAGATAATGTCAGACTGCATCACTTCCTCAAAGGTCTCTAGAGCCATTTATAGATGAGCTATCTGTTAAAAAAACAAACGTGTTTGGCTTTTGATCATTATCTTGAGCTAACCTGAAATCAAAATCAAATAGGAAAATAATGAACGACTGCTTAAAGTGACAGTAAAGCAGTCTGAGAAACACATTGTTCTAATATGCTATTTGTATAAAGCTTCAGTAGTATAGCTCTGCAGCTATTGCTAGCACAGCTCTCCATCTAGGTTAGCATATCCTGGCAGCAGCCGCTCAAACAAAAACCTTCTTGTGATTCATACCTGTTTATCAATTTCAATGCGTTTTGGCTCAAACTGAAAACTTAATGTTACTCGTTGCGGTTTTTCGTTGGATAGGGCTAATGCTAGTGCTACAAGACCTAGCATACATAATTTATTCAGAATGCATTGCAGCCCAATGGCAACATCCATGCGAAAATGTTTTATCATTAAAACAAAACTACTTTCAGTATTTGTGCCAAAACTAATAATTAACATCAAATTTTTATGGCCACTTTGTGGTTCACACAGCCATGAGGGAGACTGCAAGTAGCATTAATCCCAAGAGCTTCTTTGAGTGGATACACTGGACATGAATGAATCTACTTTTCAGTTGTTTTTTTCCCCCATTTGACCGAAGAGCTGAGTCTAACCTCCTGCTGGCAAGCTCTGTGGCCACTGTCCCCCACCACTGCATGTCTGATAACGGCATTGCGCTGGGTGAGTTTTTTACTAATGTCAACAACACAGATGAAATCTGTGAAGTAAATAAAGGAGAGCAACATGGACGGGAGACAGAGCATACTCTAACGGTGCCTGAAAACTGCCGACGAATCTCCTCTTCTCAGTGGATCATAAGGAGCTCACAAATCTCTCTATCTTGCTAGTGCTGTGCCATGTTTCGCAAATACAAGAAGAGTTGTTTGGGCTTGTTATTTAACACATGAGACCGGCGCGATGTTGTGACGTGCTTACACTGCCCTTAAAGTCATCAAGTAATTTAGAGTTTGAAGCTAGGTCTGCTGTTCCCACAGCATGCCGGTCAGATATGAGGCAATTTTAATGCGGGTTGCTTGCCCAGTCGTTTGACCTGGCTAGACATGTGTCAGTGAGCTGTTCCCACTGCCACTGATTGTTCTGATTGTTCCTGGGTTTAAACTGGTCTTTCAGGAAATGGGTATTTGTGTCAGCAAACAGATGCAGCTGAACATACTGGTACCAACAATTGTTACTATGGAAAAAGTGATTTGTCTTTTTAGATATTAATCCATAAAATCTTCCCACTGGGGTAGCTCTGGGGGGCAGACTGCTTACTTTAAGAACCACTCCCTGATTTAAAGCTTAGAACCAGCAGAATGTATTTAACATTAATGTCTATCAATGACACCAGCTGTTGTTTAAATCGGACAGGTCATTCTGATGCCATTGCTACCATTTCATTCCTCCACTACCCAGAATCAGGCTACATCAGTAACTATTGCAGCGCCTTTTTGTGGATGCTTGAAAATATGTGGATATTCTTTCTCTGCACCATTTTTTTATGTGATGACCACCGCATTCTTAACTAACTTCCAAGAGTCTCTAAAATAATTATGTTCTGGATTGATTTTGACTTGGTAATTCAGTCTGTGAACGGAATCTTACCAGTGAAAATGCTAACATAAAAGTTAAATGTGAAAAGTGGCCCACCTCAGGTTTTAAACCCAACAGTGTCAATTTTGTTTTCATTCCAATCAAGAAAACAATTTTTTTTTTAAACTCCTTTCTTAAGCCAAACAGCTTGCAGCAACATATAGGGGAGAAGGCCTTACTCTGCTATCCACTTTATTTGATCCCGTTTAATTTCATGTGTGAGTAATAGACTGACGGCATGTGATTCCCTCTCATGTGGGCTTTTATTTCCTCCCCCAGGTTTTAGTGTGGACCTCACTCTGGATCGCCTGAAGCAGAAGGAGGCAACCAAACGCACGCTCTTCCTGTTCAGTCAGAAGTTTCAGTACTCTAAAAATACGACGGTGATCAGCAACAAACTCGCCTGTGAGGAGCAGGACGTCTTTTTAAGGGTGAGAAAGAGTATTAAACCCCAATGAATTTATTTTCCTCAATTTGTGGTCATGAAGTTTTCTAAACACTGCAGAAGGCAATGTAGGTTTATTTCTACAGCTCATTAGTGTTCATCTCTCTTTCCTTGCATCCATGATATTTATAGTGCACTTTAGGTCGCCGATCTCCAAATGCCACAACAAAAATAAGAAATGAAGTAATGAAAATAACTTAGTTGAAACTCCATAATGCCTTGTCAAGAAGTGCTAAAAAAAAAAGACGCAAAAGTGAGCTTCAGATTAGTAAAAAGTGCTTGGCAGATGGTAAATATTTACATTTTTATTACCTCATCTTTGAATTTGCTCACTTTGGTCATTAAAATAGGATTTTGAAGAAGGCAAACATGCAGACAAAGGCTTACAAACAATATCTGCTGATTACAAAAGCAAAACTGTGCCTTTTACAGTTTTTGTGCGTTTAAACACATTTGCACATTTTAGGAGACGTAAACCTTCTAAAGATCAGGTCAATAGTGTTTCAATAATTTTCGGAGGTGACTTTCTACCATCAGTTTTCTTCTTTTAACCCCAGCCTCCCTTCTCCTCCTCCACTTTGTTCCCAAGGAAATGTAGCTGTTTAACCTTTTATTTGCACAGCTTTTCAAGGGACTGATGCCTTATTAGGGCAGAGAGAGAGAGTGAGATATTATTACAGGATTATGACATCAATGTTTGGCTACGTAAAGTGCCTTGAATTACTATTCATACTCCTCTAGTTTTACCAGAAGTAGGATATTATTTTTAAAGTTGCAAAAAAGTAGATTTTTTTTTCTTTTTTACCAATTGAAAAGTCTCAGATGTTAGCTTTTAGTTCACTCGACTCTCATCAACTATTTATTAAATCATATAACATGTCTTTTAAAGCCCCATGATTCCACTTTTTTATTTTTGCACATATTTATAATCTATTTGCTTTTTACAATGAAAGTTGCAGATAGGATAGGATGAGGATTCCCTTCATATACTGTTCAATTTTTGTGCAATCTTATGAAAGTATTTTGTCACGCACCATACGGCATGAAATCATTAATCCTTGGCAAAACATCAAGTTCGACGCACTTTGTGCATCACTATTTGCTCTTTTGGCCTACATCAATAAGGAACTTTATCTGTGCACCAGATCTGGGAGTGCTGCTAGACATCGAAACAGATTTGAAAAAAGAAGGATTTGGAAGCGGTTGTCACTGGTGAAAGTGACTAATTTAGGATGATCGTTTACAGATATTTGAAGGTTACGTATAATATATCACCTGTATATTACATACCTGCTGGATTACACAGTCAATTAAAGAAACATAATTAGCTGCATTTTAAATCCAACATCTTCCCAAAGACAACCCAAAACAAAATAAACCCTATAATCTTCAAATAATAAATACAAATTCTGTAGCATGGATATATTTAATTAAGCACAATCTTCCTTAAATTGAAATATATTTAATATTATGCACTTACAAATTGGATAATACAGTTATTTTTCTTTTTGTAAACTGAGATAATCTTTTTCCATCAGCAAATATACATAAATTCTCAAATCAAGGGACAATAAAATTACTTTTTGCAGTTCATTGGCTTCAAGCAGTATAAAGGCTCTCTGGTTTATTGCCATGTAATGTAACAAATGCACCTGTTTGCTGTCAGGATTGATGCACCTTGTTACTGTTTTTATTAATATTAGCTACTACATGACTGGTTCAGAAATCAAAAAAGTTTGTTACTTTTTTTTAATTTTTATTTATAAGGAATACTGTTTGAGAGTCTATCCTGCTACTATTCACAAAATTCTCCCCTTATAAAAGTTGTTTCAGTTTAGTGCTGCAGATGATTCTCCTTATTTATTAGCAGTTTCCATGGTTACTGCTATGATGTTCTGGCGGTTTTTTTGGAAATGTTTCTCTTTGGATCATAAAAATCCTGCATGTTGAAGTTGAACATCAGTCTTTTCTATTGGATATTAATATGGTGCATCTCAGGCAGCAGCTGCGTTTCTGTTGGCTGATAGATGTAGCTGGTAGCAGCCGTCACTCCATTAGATTGTCATTTTAAATATCAGAACCTGTCAGATCAGTTCATCACAGTTTATCTCTTAAAAGTAAATATTAGTAAATATTTTTTATATTAACCTCTTTTTTCCAAAATAAACATTTTAGACAGAACAAACAAGCACACAAATACAGGTTGCTCGTTAACTGTACTGGTGCAATATGAAAAATAAATGTTTGTGTTAAAACTACGTAAACTTACATGAGAAATGAAGCTGTACATCCACAAAATATAGGGTACTTTGTTTCATAAAGTGCATAAAAAGACATTTTTGTTTTTAAAAGCCCCTAAGGGGTTCAAACAATAGGCCCCCCCATTTCAACAAATGAGTTTTTTTTAGACTAATAGAGTTCTGCCTTTTAAGACAGGAAAGTATAGCAGTTAAAGTTTCTACTTGAGAAAATACTGAACCATAGAGATAAAAATAGCCCTGTGATTCAAATTATAAATTGTATTTGGAATAAAAATGAGAGAACTAGGGGTGCTAAAAAACACATCCTCCAAAGACAAATATTTACATGGGAATGTGGCAGATAATTAATTGACATATTACTGATATTGCTGGATTTTATTCTGCTTTACCTACATAAATTTCAGGATCTTCTTTGCTTTACCTTTGCCAGAAGATTTAAACTTTAAAAGCCTTGCCCTCATAATTTGCAAGTTAATTTATTTATAAAGAAAATATAAATGCTGCTTAAGCTAATTCAAATGAAATTAAAAGTAAAATAAGTAGCCAACCTTATCACTGTCTGTAACCTACTAACACGGTAAGGAAAGCATCAGATGAGCTACCTGAGAAACTAACGTTACATTTCCTCACTTTAAAACCAAACAAACATGGTCACTCATCCTGCTGATCAGCTCTCTTCACTGCCATCGAAGGCTCCAACGTGTTTCCTTTTCAGGTGCTGCGTCATAACAGTGGTGCTTCCGCGCCATGTTAATTTGTTTTTACAAAAGTTGCATGTTTCGACTTTCTTCACTTTACAAAGCGCAGGCTATTTTAATTATTGTGATCAATTTGCGCGTCAATCCCGGCGCATGCGCGCTTCATTTGCAGTCTGGACGCTGAGGATAAACTCCTCACTAAAATCCTGCGGCTCTGACTGCAGCGCTGAGAGGGACTCCTGTGGGAGAACGGGGTTGGGATGGGGGAGGCGCCCCACGGCAGAGTAGGAACGATGCATGCTTTCACGTAAGAGTCTCCATAAGCCGCCAGTGACACCGTAAAAAGTCGCCAGATTTATCGCTAGTCGCTTTTTAAAAAAATAGTCGCTGGAGGGGTCTGAAAAGTCTCTGAGTTGGCAACACTGCACCTGCGGCGCTGACTCGCTCCGCCATATTTTTTTTTCTTCCCCCGTTTCAGTCAAGTGGATGTGATGACGGCGGCGGCGGATGACGCATTAATCGCGCGACACAACTAATCGATGATTAAATTCGTTGCCAACGCTTTTAAAAGTCGATTTTTATCGATTCGTTGTTGCAGCCCTAATATAAACAAAAACATTGAATATTTCTGCTTTACTTGACTTCCCAGGTTTCTTAAGTCTGAAACTGCAGATCTAATTCCCTTCTCTTTGTCTTCCAGGATGATCGTGAGTTTCGGGATAAGATCACTCCCATCTCCGTGGTGATGGACTACAGTCTGGACTACCAGCTGGCTGCAGATCAAACCGGACTGCTGCCCATTATCAATAACCGGGTGCAGCAAAGCGTCAGCAGGCAGGTAAACTTAACGAGGGTGGGGCAGGGGGTGGGCTTTCTAGAACCTGGAAAGAACAGCACATATATGAGCATAGAGCTCCGGTGAAGCTCAGCGTTGGCTGTTAGTAAAGCTGGTTTCATTGGTCGCTTCCTAATTGATTAATTTCAATGTGTAGATAAAAGACTCCAAGTTATTCAGCCTCGAGGCAGATTAGCAGTAAACGGCTGATTTTCATCTTTTCTTAAACCTTTCTAGGGCAAGTTAGCATTTTTGATCACTTGCATACCCCTTACAAATAAATTCCCCCATCCCTCAGTGAGGTCTAGAAACACAAGATCTAGATCCAACCATTCAACAAAGATACTGCTATATGGCTGCACATCTTATTTTGGCATTTGACTAATTAGATGAGCCCTTGAATGATACATTGCTTACTGTAAATTAAGTTAAAAAAAAGTTATCAAGTTAAGAAAAAAGGTAAAAATGTAAATGCTCAGTGGAGCAGGGGTAGCACTGCTGCCTTGCAGCAAGAAGGTTTGGGTTTGATTCCTGGCCTGGGGTTTGCATGTTCTCCCTGTGCATGTGTGGGTTCTCTCCAGGTACTCCGGCTTCCTCCCACCATGCAAAAACATGACTGTTAGGTTAAATTAAAAGAAAACACCCATATGAGTTTTGTGTCATTTGGAGCTGTTCTGAAGATATTCCATTAGGTTATATCCATGTAACGTCTTCCTATGGGCAGAAGACTTGAAGGCACAAACTAAACTGCTCATTATTTATCATTTATGGTACGCCTCTAAGGTTATGTTGAACCAAAAAAATGTTTCTTTCACTCTCAGAATGTTTTCATGAATTTCTTTTGTTATTTTTCTTAATATATTCAAGAAGTTTGTATTTCTTATTACACAGACATTAATTTTTCCCATCAAAATATCCATATTTTTTTTATGTTACAAAGGTAATAAAGGTAATAAGGTCTTGTCCTGGATTCCAATAACACTATTGGCTTAAAACTTTGATTTTCAAAGTATTTCACTGAGTGCCCTTTAAAGGGTTAAACAGACCTGTTTTGTTGTCTCCCCCTGTCGTCTTGTGTTTCTCACATCCTGTTCTTGTAACTTTCTGTAAGGCTCACATTCTGCTGGATTGTGGGGATGACAACATCTGTAAACCTGACCTCAGGCTGTCGGTGGAGAGGTTGGTGGAACAGTCAATAAAAGCCATTAACAGACAGATAACAGTTATTAAAAGGTTGGAAGTTTTAAGCTTCTTGTCCTCTGATTGGCTGCAGCGACCGTGAACAGATCTACATCGGCGATGACAACGCTCTGACCCTAAAGGTGACCGCTGAGAATCAGGGCGAAGGGGCCTACGAGGCCGAGCTCTACGTCTACCCCCCTCAGCAGGCCGACTTTACCGGGGTTGTTCGCAGTCAGGTAAACATTTTATCCCTAAATCCACTTCACATTAAAAACAGGACAATTCGCTTTGGATTACACGCCCTAAATTTAGCATGAAGGAAGCTGTTGCTCCTGATCTGGTTTAGTGATAAACTAAACCTTCAGATCGGAACTTATCTTTTCTAGCAAACATTTTGGTCTCTTCTGATCTGCTGACAGGAAGTCAGTAGATAGGAGCAGAGCTGGCTGACCCATGGTTTATTTCAGCAGTTTACTGTCTGATGTTAGGCTTAATTATTTTATCAGTAAACATGTTTTTTAAATAATCAGTTTTTAATTAATATTAATAAAGTGACCATTGAACCATAGAAGCATGGATCAGATAATTCTCCTCTTCTGGTGAAATAAAGCTCTGCTGTTCTTCCTGTGCTTTCTGCAGGCCCTCTCCAGGCTCTCCTGCGCCTACAAGAGGGAGAATGAGACCAAGATGGTGGTGTGTGACCTTGGAAACCCCATGAAGGGAGGCACTAAGGTCAGTAAAGGGGAACTGAAGGTGGCCAACATTTTGCATTTGTAGAATCTAAAACCACAAGTTTACAGAGTAAAATATGAAAAGTGGCTAATTTGAAGCTGCAACTGAGCTTTGCTTTAGTAAAGCCCTTTATCATGTCCCCAAAGGGCTGCTCTTATCACAAATTTCCACAACTGACTGCTTTAAAAGCTTTTCTTAAAAAAAAAAAAAAAAAAAAAAAACATCAATAGTTTTCTGATTGGTTCTGAACTGCTTCTAATGACTCTGTTGGTCCCGCCTTTGAATTCCAGCTCCTTTCCAGACCCACATTCTGTGTAAACACAGCTAAGTCTGTCAGGCTAAGGAGAGATATTCCATGATCCTGAAATGTTTTATTTTTTGTTATGTTACAAACACAAACTTATTACGTATTGTCGGGATTATATTAAACAAAGAAACACAAATTTCAAAATTATCCTTTTTTAATAAATGTGTCCAATGATACGATCAAGTAAAATGATAAAATCAAACACAAACAGCATAAAAATAAAACAACAAGCCGGTCCCATCTAGGCGTAATCGTAGACGATGACAGACGAAGTGTGCTCCTGATGTGCAGTCTGCTCCGTAGCTTTGTTTTGGTCGCTGTAACCGCAGAAAATCCCGCTTCACAAAGATAGGATGTTATAGATAGGATGAGTCTTGACCTGAATTTACCTGTGTCAAGAGGCACAGATGCACCGACTGATGTAATTGGGAGAGAATACCGCAATTTTTTATATATTTCAAAATAAAACATCACTCAGACTCTGATCGTCAATAAATTGTATATATATATATATATATACATATATATACTAATTTTTAGTGCAGCCCGGTACCAAATTACCCACCTACTACCTGTCATGTCCCAATAAATCAGCCTGATGTTTGTGTTTGTAAAGTGACCAAATAAACTGCAGGGGGGGTGATTTCTTTTACAAGTCTCTTTCTTAGCGGTATCTTGTTTAAAACATTTTTTAATAATGAAAAATCTCTACCTGCTGTTTTCTAACATGTTTTTTTTTTTTTGTGTATCTCCTCCTGTTCTCTCATTGGACCCCTCCTGCTGCTTTCCGTGGTTTGATTGGTCAGATCGTAGCAGATTTGAGGTTCAGTGTTCACCAGCTGTCAGAGGAGGATACTTCAATCAAGTTTGACCTTCAGATAGTCAGGTAGGTGTTGTTGCCACCTCAGCGGAATCCACTCATTTGAACTCAAGTGAGTCCAGCTCCCCCTGCTGGCTGCAGGGGGAGAATGGTTTTATTTTATGAGGAGGAGTGACTATTGAAATGTTTTTCCAGCTGAAGGGTTGTTTTGCAATAAGGAAAAGTTATAGAAAAGAGAAAAATATGAGAAAAAAGCAGTGAAATTAAAATATTTTAGTTAGTTACATTAGTTTTTTTTTTATTTCCTCTGTAGTTTGATCCAGTTTACTATTTTATTTCTGAGATATTTTTAATAGTTATTGCAGATGTCTCCATATCAGGCAGATTATCCATCTTATGTGGAGTCTGACTTTTAACTGAGTGGCGAAAATATAACTATTGATGGATGTACTGCAGATAGATTAACTCTCTTGACTAAAGAAAGAGCAACATCTTTATCAGTAAAATGATTTTCTATCTACAGCCTGTTTATGAATGAATGAATGAAAGTTCATGTGTTTCCTCAGAGAACAGAACCAGAACTCCCACCCAAACACAACCCATCATGTAACTCCAGCAGTTAAAGCTAAGCTGTTTTCTCTTGAAAGTGAAAGAAGCAGCGAACACCCCGCCTCTGCCTGCATGTTTGCGCTTCTTTGGCAGAGAGCAGTGGGGGAGGGGGGAGGGATACAGAACTATGTTAATGAGAGGTTTCAGCTTTTTTGGTCACACTCCTCCTCAATTCTCTGGTACTTGCTGACTACAAGAAATGTTTACTCAACTTGCATTTTTCCAATAGTTTAACCAGCTCCCTAAAACGTTACTCGAGTGGGAAAAAAATTAAAACCATGATCATGTTAATTAAATCCAACATCAGTGAGCCTGAATTTGTCCTTTTTCATTTTAAAAGATCATTGATTTAATGAATAAATATATGAGTAAACTGCCCTAAATAAGTATTCACACCCCTTGACCTTTACCACATTTTCTCACATTACAGCTTCAAACTTTCTTTGGTGGAATGGAACATGAATAAGAAGAAAATGTTTTTACAAATAAAAATCTGTCGTTTTTTTTTTCCTCCTCGAGGAAATCCTTGCTAATGAAATTTAGCTGAAAGTAGAACTGCAGGTAGAGCTGAACATAGAGCTGTAGATAGAACTGAAAGTAGAACTGCAGGTAGAGCTGAACGTAGAGCTGTAGGTAGAACTGAACATAGAGCTGTAGGTAGAGCTGAACGTAGAGCTGTAGATAGAACTGAAAGTAGAACTGCAGGTAGAGCTGAACATAGAGCTGTAGGTAGAGCTGAACGTAGAGCTGTAGGTAGAACTGAAAGTAGAGCTGCAGGTAGAACTGCAGGTAGAGCTGAAAGTAGAACTGAAAGTAGAGCTGCAGGTAGAGCTGAAAGTAGAACGAAAGTTACTACCGTAACTACGGTTCTATGAATCCCGGATGACCGCCAGAGGCGGTGCTTCAAGCACTGAATGATCATTCTTGCGCATGCGCAGGTCGAGTATTAATGACAACAAAGTCAGCTGTGACCTGCCGGGGACCCACGTGACTCTATATAGTCACGTGGCACCCGGCAATCAATCCCTCAATCTTCTCGCGAAAGCAGAGATTCCGAGGGACCAAGCACTCTGGCGGTCATCCGGGATTCATAGAACCGTAGTTACGGTAGTAACTTTCGTTCTATTTCATCCCTACTGACCGCCAGAGGCGGTGCTTCAAGCACTGGATGACTCATATCAACAAGGTCACGAGGAATCAGCAACATTCAAGGAACAACGACTACACCACCCACCTAATGTGATGTAGAGGCATGCTGCTCGAGGATTCCCTGAAGCGGATGGGGCGCAGCCACATTCACCCTGTAGAACCGAGTAAAGGTACTAGGTGACTTCCAGGAGGCCGCACGACATATAACATCCAATGGCACCCCAGTCATAGCAGCAAACGATGTCGACATGCCCCTTGTAGAGTGGCATTTCACTCCCGCCGGCAGTGGCCGGTCCTGCAAGGCATAAGCCTTGGAGATCAAATCCACAACCCAGTGTGCAAGTCGCTGCTTAGAAAGTGCCTGACCTTTCCGTGAGCCAGCGTAGCAAACAAAAAGGCTATTTGTCTTTCGGAAGGATGCCGTGGCATTGATGTATGTCCCAAGGGCACGGACAGGACACAGTGGTTCAGAGGGACTTCCGGAGTCAAACCGGGCAAGATGGAGAGGCTGGGTGCTGCCTGCTGGCAGTGATACCTTAGGAATAAATGCTACATCAGCCCACAGTGTAACGCCTGAGCCATCAGGATTCCACCGGCAGCAGGGTTCGGCTATCGAGAGAGCCTGTAACTCCCCTACACGTTTTGCGGAAACCATAGCTAAAAGGAACGCAGTCTTCAGTGAGAGCCATTTGAGGTCCGCCGACGCCAGGGGCTCAAATGGGAGGGACCGAAGAGCCTCAAGCACAAGAGAAAGGTCCCACGCCGGTGCCACAGGGCGGTTGGGTGGGTGCAAACGCCGAGCACCTCTTAAAAACAGTACAACATCCTTGTCTCGGCCCACAGAACAACCATTCAGCCCAACATGCCAACAGGAAATGGCAGCCACATACACCTTTAAGGTAGATGGGGACCGTCCTTGATCCAGCAATGCCTGCAGGAAGGTCAGTATGTCAGAAACTGAGCACTGCACCGGGTCCTGCCCTCTATCACGGCACCAGGTCGCAAAGACCGTCCACTTGTTAGCATAGACAGCTCGCGTGGACGGCGCCCATGCATTAGCCATTGTATGCCCTATGGACCCAGTGTATCTTGAGAAGGTGGACCCCGGCCTTGCAGGGGCCAAATCCAGAGCTGGAGCCGGTCCGGTTCGGGGTGCAAGATCTGACCCCCCATCTGGGAAAGAAGGTCTCTCCTGGAGGGGAGACGCATTGGCGAGCCGGAGCTGAGCTCGCACAGTAGAGGAAACCAAGTCCTCGCTGGCCAGTAGGGGGCCACCAGCAGGACCCTGTGCCCCTCCTGACGTACCCTGAGGAGAGTCTGAAAAAGTAGGCTGAATGGCGGAAAGGCATAAAGGAGGGTCCTGGGCCAGTCGTGTGCCAGAGCATCGTGGCCCAGAGGGCTGCTGTTGTCCAACGAGAACCAAAGGGGACAGTGAAATGCGTCCCTTGAGGCAAAGAGGTCCACGTCCGCCCTGCCAAAGACCTTCCAGATGCACTCCACCACCTCTTGGTGAAGCTTCCACTCCCCTGGAAGCGGCTTCTGACGGGATAGAAAATCTGCTGGCACGTTCTCCGGCCCTGGGATGTAGGCTGCTCTGAGGCTGGCTATGCGTGGAGCTGCCCAGGTCAGAAGCCGTTGAGTCAAACACAACAGTTTCCTTGACCTCGTGCCCCCCTGGTGGTTGATGTGAAAGACCACTGTGGTGTTGTCTGACCTCACCAGCATGTGCTTCCCCCGCAAGCCTGGAAGAAAGCTCTGAAGAGCCAGAAGCACAGCCTGTAACTCCAGGACATTGATGTGTTCCCTGCCCTGCCGCTGGGACCATGTCCCCTGTGCCATTTGACCCCGCCAGGTTGCACCCCAGCCCGTGGAGGATGCATCTGTAAACACAACTTCCCGACGACACGGGAGGGAACCGAGCGGGACCCCTGTGGTCATAAACAACCTCACCCTCCATTGGGACAGAGACTGAAGACACTGAGGCCCCACCCGAAGTCTTCGGAGACGATGAGTGTTCCGTGTGGGATCCAGATTCAAGCTGTTCAACCACATCTGGAGGGGCCGCAATGACAGCAGCCCCAAGGGCACTACGGCGGACGCAGCTGTAAGCATGCCCAAGAGTCGAAGATACCGCACAAGAGGCAGCGCCATGCCGCGCCTGAATTCCGGGAGCACGCTCAATATACTGTCCACCCGCTGGGGTGACGGGCAAGCAGTCATTGAGATGGAATCCATGGCAATGCCCAGGAAGACAGTCTCCTGTGAGGGGGTCAGACTGCTTTTCTCCATGTTCACCTGCAAGCCCAAGCATCCCACATGATGGAGCACTAACCGAGTATCTCGAACCGCCTGGTCCCACGTCGCGGCACAAATGAGCCAGTCGTCCAGATATGGGAGGATCCTCAATCCCTGTGCCTGCAGAGGAGAGAGGACCGCTGCAACACATCGGGTGAACACCCTGGGGGACAGTGAAAGTCCGAACGGGAGGACCCTGAACTGGAAATGCCTCCCTTGAAAAGCAAAACGAAGAAACCGCCAATGGGGCGGAGCGATCGGAACGTGAAAATAAGCATCCCTGAGATCTATGGAAGTGAACCAATCGCCCGGGGAAATCGCCTGCAACACTTCCTTGGTGGTCAGCATATGAAAGGGCATGGCCTTCAAGTACACATTCAGGCCTCTGAGGTCCAAGACTGGACGCAGGCCCCCGGTCTTCTTCGGAACCAGAAAATACGTGGAATAAAAGCCCCCTGGATCCAGCAGGGGGTCCACAGGCACTATAGCACCCTTGGCCAGCAAGGTGCAGATTTCTTGGTTCAGTGCCTGTGCCTTCACCGGGTCGTGGATCACAGTCATCCTGACCCGGCCAGGGATAGGTGGCCGGCGGCGGAATTGAAGACGGTACCCCCGGGACAGGGTGGACAACACCCACAAGTCCGGGGTGTGGGCAGCCCAGAAGCTGAGCTGTCCCGGGGAAAAATAACCGACCGCCGGCCCTAAGGCATCATCTGCGGGTCCCCCGGCCCTTCGAAGGCCCGGGAGGACGCCGGCCAGACTGCGCGGCTCGAAAGGGATGAAAGGACCTCGTCCCAGCCTGGTCTCGAGCTCTGTTCCTCCGATCTAGAGCAGGTCCCCGGACCGATCTCTGACCTGGTAACAGACCCTGGGGTTCAGTGGGAGAAGGAGAAGGCACTAAGGACCTCCGTGAAGGACCCGCAGCTGCCCAGGTGCTTACTGGCTGGCGATCACGTCTGTGAAGCCCTGCCAGCTGTTGCCTCGTTCTAGAGGCCTGAGCCGTACGGTCCAAGGCGTCCAGTGCCGCTGAACCAAAAAGCTCCCCCGGGACCACAGGCAGGGCCCGGAGGGTCCTCCTACAAGGCTCAGTTAGTGGTGACTGCGCCAACCAGACCTGGCGGGGAGCATGAACCAGTGTGGAGAGTGTGCGTCCAAGTTCCCTCGTCATAAGAGCAAAGGCCTGCAGAGATGCATCAACCAGGCCTTGCGTGGCATGATCCAGCGGAACAGATTCCAAGGAGGAAGACAGGGCCAGCATAAGATGGGAGAGAGAGTTCCCAATCCGGCCCATGCGGGCCCCAGAGTCATAGGCCTTACAGAGAAGGTCGTCGGTAATACGGCACTGAGGACGCGGACAACGGGCATTGGGCCGCAAGGCCTCATCAGGCGGGATTATAAGAGAGGCAATGCCCGGTTCCACCGCTGGCATCTGCCCCAAGCCAACCTTGGGTGCCTCCTGCATAGCTGCCAGGACCCTGCCATCCGTCGTCAGACGTGAAAACGCCTTGGTGTCTGACCAGCAAGCATGCAGTTCCCGCACATACTCCGCCGAGGGAGGAACCACAAAGGCAGTCTCTGACCTACTGCGCCTAAAGAAGGCGCTGGAAGCCGCAGGCTGGGCCTGAGGAACACTAATCTGTAAACGGGCAAGAGCCGTTCGAATAGCGGATGTCACAGACTCCCCCGTATCCTCCTGGGAGGCAATGGAGTCCGACCCAGAGGCCCCGGAGCCCAGCTCCGGAAGGTCCTCACAGAAATGGGTGCCAGAGGCCGCCACAGAAACAGCATCGTCGTCATTGACTGACGTTTCATCCTGCTCGGTAGGGAGAGCCGTGCCTCGATCACCAGCAGTCTGAAAGGACTGGAGGAGGGCTTTCATTTGGGCCAGCTCAGTAGTGAGATGATCCACTCTGGTGGACAACCTCCCTGCATCGGTCCGTCTAGCACGCTTCGTCGGTACCGAAGGTGCAGCCACAGTAGATCGTTTGCACACCGCTTTCTCCATCGGCAAACGAGCACGCGGCGAAGCGCTCGCCCAGTCGGTAGGCTGCTCCAGTGCAGCCAACCGATCCAGTCTGACCGACCGGGGCATGACGCGACAGTTGGGGCAAGCGTCATCTGACAGCGCCTCCTGGAGATGTTCCACACCGAGGCAGGAGGGACACAAGTCATGCCCGTCATCCGGCTGAAGTGGAGCCAGACAGGTCGAGCAACATAAATTATCCAGCATCATACTGCTGAAAGGCGTGATCAGCCTGCTACCAAGGACAAGTCAACACGAGCAGGAAACGCTACTGGCGACTCGTTGTAGGAAAACCCCCGCAGAGATTCCAAACTCAGCACGAGCAGAGACGCCACTGGTGAGTTTAGGCAAACAAACTATAGAAGAACCCAACGCGAGCAGAAACGCTACTGGTGGGCTTAGGCAAACAAACTGAAAACAACTCAGCGCGAGCAGAAACGCCACTGGTGAGTGTAGATAAACAAACTATAGAAGAACCCAACGCGAGCAGAAACGCTACTGGTGGGCTTAGGCAAACAAACTGAAAACAACTCAGCGCGAGCAGAAACGCCACTGGTGAGTGTAGATAAACAAACTATAGAAGAACCCAACGCGAGCAGAAACGCTACTGGTGGGCTTAGGCAAACAAACTGTAAACAACTCAGCGCGAGCAGAAACGCTACCGTGAGTCAAAAGAGCCACAAAATTAACGTGGCAAATCAAAGCGAACAGTAAACTACTGCTGAGAAAAGAACGAAAACTTACCAGTCACCGCAGATCTGGTAAGGTGAAAGCAGCTTGTGCAGCCCCTGGAGGGCGAGACTTACCCGCAGCTCCGACCAAACCCGGTCACGGGGCTACCAGCAACAAGCAGCCAGGAAACTAGTGGTATACACAGAAGCAACCAGCTTCACACGACCACACTCCGGTACTCAACACACCTGCGCGCGAGAAGAACAAAAGGGATTGATTGCCGGGTGCCACGGGACTATATAGAGTCACGTGGCACCCGGCAGGTCACAGCTGACTTTGTTGTCATTAATACTCGACCTGCGCATGCGCAAGAATGATCATTCAGTGCTTGAAGCACCGCCTCTGGCGGTCAGTAGGGATGAAATAGAACTGAAAGTAGAGCTGCAGGTAGAGCTGAACATAGAGCTGTAGGTAGAACTGAAAGTAGAGCTGTAGGTAGAGCTGAACGTAGAACTGAAAGTAGAGCTGCAGGTAGAGCTGAAAGTAGAACTGAAAGTAGAACTGCAGGTAGAGCTGAAAGTAGAACTGAAAGTAGAGCTGCAGGTAGAGCTGAACATAGAGCTGTTGGTAGAACTGAAAGTAGAGCTGCAGGTAGAGCTGAACATAGAGCTGTTGGTAGAACTGAAAGTAGAACTGCAGGTAGAGCTGAACGTAGAGCTGCAGGTAGAACTGAAAGTAGAACTGCAGGTAGAGCTGAACATAGAGCTGTAGGTAGAACTGAAAGTAGAGCTGTAGGTAGAGCTGAACATAGAGCTGCAGGTAGAACTGAAAGTAGAACTGAAAGTAGAGCTGCAGCCTCTGATTGCTCAAATCTACATCCGCTCTACACTATGCGTATTTGCTGTTCGGTACCTTCATGATTCATTACTTTGTTTTCTTCTTTCTGTCACAAACAATTTAGTGTGAAATGTAGTTAAATGACAGCAGTCAGTAGAAGGTCATATTAATAATTAGTAAGGTAAATAGTTTGTCTTTAGCAGATGTCGACCGAACCTTTGCTGATTAGAACATGGGAGAGAAATCTCTGAAAAGACAGTTATTATACTAAGGAGCCATACAGTAAAGCTCATCAAAAAAAAAAGTTCAATACCTTCTAAATAACCTTTGAACGGATCTGAATTGATATTTTATTAATGAAACTCTTAGTGAAGTACACTAGTAACTCTAGTGAAAACTTATTGGCTGGTATTTTCTGTTTTTCTCTTTTATTAATCTTTAAGTAGGAGCTCCAACCCCTCGGTTTAACTAGAGGTAGAAGCCGCCGTACATTCAGGGTTTAGTCTTTAAGGCGGAAAATCCTCCTTCCAATCACCCTAATCTTTAGCTTCCCCCAGTGATTTGGGTCAGGACTCTGGCTGCTTCCCTTCAAAGCCTTTATGTTACTCCTGTCAGAAGAACTATGTTGGTCAAATGAGAAGATGAATTAAAAATGGATCTTCCAGCACAGAGAAGGTGCACGTTATTCATTTAATCATTGATTGAATTTGATTGTTTTTCAGCTCTAACCAGTTTCAAAACACAAGTCCTCGAGTCTCCAAGGTCACCCAACTGGCTATCCTCTCCAAAGTCTCCATCAGAGGGTAATGGACACATTTAACCCATGCAGACATGGAGTGTTATTAGCTTTATTCTAACCAGTTTCAGCTTTATTCTGTACCGGATAAACCTGTCAGGGTGACACATTAATGCTGGTTTCCTTTCTTTTTATGATGTTTATATATATCTTCATATTGTCTTTATTTTTAATGTCTAAATGTTTGGAGTAGAGCAGCAACATTATAATAATTAATTATATAATAAATAATAACATTACAGCGGTCTGGATTTGTATCCATGGAAACTGTGTGTTGTCCTCCCAGGTCATCGTCTCCCACTCAGGTCCTGCTGCCGATCGCCAACTGGAAACCAAAGAACCCTCCGGTGGTTGGAGACGACATCGGACCTCTGATTGTACACGTTTATGAGGTAGAAATGCCAGAGAATACAGTTGCTTATATGCTTCCTTTTATCCGTTTCTGCTTTATAACTCAGAGTTTTCAGCTTTAAATGCTCAGAAACACCTTTTTTAATCCTGGGAAAGGAAGCAGGACCAGAAACTGATCATCACAGTTCTAGTGGACGACAGCGTGAACCTTTTTATTTATGTGCTATTGTTTTTCATGCAGCCAGTTGAACAGAATATATCAGGCTCAGACTGGTAATCTGTGATACTGGGCATTTGCCCGGTGGGCCGTTCCTAATTTCAGCGTGTGAGCGCCGGCCCTCCTTAAATCATACCGGCCCCAACACTTACACTCCCACCGAAGCTCCTACCTGTGACAGAAAATAACTCAAGGAGATGAAGAAGTAATCCAATGTTAACTACCTAAATGATGCATGCGGTATCTATAGCCCTTCCTTGTCATGCACATCCTTGATGGTTGGCATATGGTGTCATTTTCTATTTCTTCAAACTAAAATCCTTGCAACAAATTAAATTATAAAAAAAAAAATGTGTGAGTTTATTACACCTTAGTATTGGCTGCCTGTTGCATGTCAGAACTGATCTAATCAATACAGTTCCTCTGTCTGGGTATACAGTTATAATCTTCATTCTGGCAAAAATTTGGAAATTTAATGAAAGCAGTGTCCTTCAGCTAAGAACGAAGTGTTATTTTTTTGACAAGGCTGGAGTCATGGATGTCTAATCATCTGCTAACATGTATGATGTAAGACCTGATGACGTTGCAGACTGGAGATGTATAAAATGCCTGTTAATCAGGGCCACTTAATGAGAGATGAGCCTGGAGGTGAGCAGCTGCCATTCTGTAAACTCTAAGCAATTTCTCTGATCTGAGTAAGATTACAATTTCTATCAGAATCTGTTGTCATTTCTCCTGTTATTTAATACATATAAGTTATGAAGTGCTTTTTAAAGAGTTTGTCCCAAGTGATCTCTGTTCAGGGAAAAGAACCGGAGAGATAGAGCTTTAAGGTGCAGACACAAAGTCTGTCTTTAACAAAACTAAAATGCTTTCTTTAAACCAAACTAAGATGTTCCTCTTATATTTGGCGAATTTATGTTAGAATATTTTGCAAAAAATGTTGCAGTGCATGATGGGGCTTTGCATCTGTTTCCATTATTCCATTTCATTGCCCACATGCCTCCTAGACTCCCAGTGAATGCTTACACACCGCTGAGCTTTCATGTATTCATTGTTGAAGAACTCCCTGTCTGCCTCTGTATTGTATTGGTTTATGTTGGTGTTTTTACATCACTCGGGCTTACTTTGTTGACCTAGTATGTGTGCAAGTGTGGACATTACGCAGCAGCAGTCACTATCACGTCCGTGTTAATACAGAAACCAAAAGCACATTATAGAGGTCTTGGTCTATAAGTGGGCCGGTGTAGATGGAAAATTGCCAGGGTCGAAGATCGCTCCCAGTCCGAGCCTGGAATAGAGCAACCTTTACTCTTAGGGGCTTGATATCCCCACAGCAGGGTGTCACAGTGAGCCTGTTGCAGGTATGATGCAGATTATTTTGATTTATGCCCAATATTGAAGCATGGTCTGCGCTATGTTATTCCACGCCATAATGCAAGAGGGACAATCAAGAACTAGCTTTGGGTCTAGATACGGCCGAGGTGGTGAGGAAGTGGGGGCAAGTTTGTGCGAAAACGGAGGGACATGAGGGTGAAAAAGAGCGAGGATCAGGTGGAAAAAGGGTCCCAGCATTCTGAAAGCAGTCCCAGAATAATGGAAGCAGTTTGTTAAAAGGATTAACTAAAAATTCTTAATTAAATTTAGATTCTGACTGTATTGAGTGTATTTGCCCTCAATTTAAGTTGGTAAATGGGTTCAATAACAATGGGAAAGCTGTTTTGGCTTGAAATAATTCTTATTTTAAATGCAAATCATTTTATTCTATTGGCCAATTGTCCTTCAAGTTGTCCTGCTCAAAACTAATTAAAAACAAGACAAAATACACTTATGATTTACTTTGATTTTATTTTTGGTGGTGTTGCTTTTAGAGAGAATCTGTTGTTGGATCCACTTGTCTTTACTTTTATTGATCTGGAGCGTCTGCCTGACTGTAACAGTTCAAACAGAACATGACTGTTAGAGAAAACAGTCTTTAATAATGCGATGATGTAGCAAAGGCTGAGGCTGTGTCCGAATGTCCACCATAATAATTACATAGGGCACTATATAGTGGTTACACCATTTTAAATGAGAGTCCGCAATTTCCCACAATGCACCTTGAAAAGTAGTGATCATCCATGGTCACTCTATGAGCAGAAATATCCCAGAATGCTTTGCAAGAGCTCTCCTTGCATGGAATCAGATAATTTGTTGGCGGTGACAAAGATGGCACAGGGTACCGTACGGGGAGGCAGAGTAACGTGACCAACAGGAAGCAAAAATGTGTTATCATCTGCCCGAATGGTTAGTTAACTATAATGTCCACTATAGAGTCCCCGTTCTATATAGAGATTTAGGGATTTAGGGGTTGGAAAGAAAGAGAAATAAAGAAAGAAGAACTTAATTGATCTCACAATGGAGAAATGAACTCTCTGCATTTAACCCATCCCCCTGGGTAGCAGTGGGCTGCCACTGTGCGGTGCCCAGGGAGCAGTGTGGAGTTAAGGGCTTTGCTCAGGGACTCAGAGAGCCGGCTGTGGGGATCAAACGGTGTACTCGCAACCTTCTCAGAGGACAAGCGAACTGTTCTAACCACTAGGCCAACACTATCCCATAAACGTTAGGACAGACGTTCAGACAGCCAGTTCATCCAGTGTGGGATGATGTCAGCCAACCTTCCTACGGGTCAAGATGATGACCTTCTTAACTGTACAGCTGATGAACTGAACAGAGATGCATTAGATCAGTCATTCTGAAACAGTGGTAGAGTGCCCCCTGGTGGTACGCAGGGACTTAATGGCATTTTTAATAAACCTTCAAGGTATTGTGGAGCATTTTTACTAATTTTTTTTTAATGACCTGCCCTCTCCACTTTTAAAGAAATATGCTCATGCACAACCCTGTACCCGCTCGTAAGAGGGAACACCTATTAAACGCGTGCAAAAGCATACAGGAGCCCATTTCTCCTCGTGCACGCTCAGTTAAAAGTTGCTGTTTGCATCAGTCATACAAGCTCACTTCCCAAAAGATTTCCAATTTTTCCACCATGTCAGACTCACCACCGATAAGTGAAAATGCGGAAGAGCACGTAGGACGGCCTTAGGTAAACATATCACCAGAATGATTGACAATTATCATCACTTATTTTGATGATCCACACAGAAAAACAACATCCTCCTCTATACCTTTAAGTTTTGTTATTCTAGATTTGCGATTATTCAAAGAAATAAAAAAAAGGTTTTCTAATGTGTTTTGTTCTGATTTGGCAGCATTTCAACATATGTACATTTATTTTAACACAATTTACTATTTTTAACATAATTTCTATTTTTGCTAAGAATTACATCTGCCTTCAGCGGGCGTGCCTCATCTATTACTTTCTGCAGCAATTATCATGTTTGGCTTCAAATACTGCTGTGGAAAAAAAAAAAGATTTTTATTTATACTCAAAAGTAAAATATTTGTAGCTGTGGTAGAAAAAAAACTACATTTAAACTATACATAAACAGCTGTATCATCATTGCAAACTGTTTCGGTACCAAAATATACTTATATTGCTGTATTTTTTTGTATTATGGAGGTGCTTGAAGATCCCACATAAGTTTTAGGTGGTATTCATAGAAAAAGGCAGAGATCCACTACAGTAGATCATTATGCTCATTAGGTTAGGGTTATTTTAACTGAGCTCTGGACATTCTTCAGCAGCTCAGAGGTCTAAATGCATCAGACTCCAGTCCTCTGTCTCAAGGGAAGAAATCAGCCACTGTGTCCAAACTGAGGGTGTTTACTGTTTCTTCAGAAGTGATTTCTTTATTCATTTTCTAAATGTTGGTCATTTTTATGCTTTGCAGTGTTGTTTTGAATGAATCGTCTTATTTAATTTGCCTTTAAATGAACCATGCTTTGTTTCTTAAGGCTTTGGCCAACAAACCTGCACTTAATTAAATTGATAATAGACTAAAAAGAGGATTATATTTGAACGACACATCCTAACAGGGTTCTGTTCTTTCAGCTGCTGAACAACGGGCCCAGTACATTCAGCAAGGCTTCACTGTACGTGGACTGGCCCTATCGCTTTGGGAACGGCTCTCTGCTCTACATCACCAACTTTGAGACGGAGGGACCCATCAACTGCACCACAGACATGGAGATCAACCCACTCAATGTCTCCGTAAGACACACACAGAAAGTTAGAAATAAGAGCAGCTTACAGCGTCTGGCTTCATCTTTAAGAGTGTAATAGTAAAGTAATAGACAGATTTATGTCTTCCTACGAACAGGGGGGCATTTCAGTGAAAGGTCTTACATGTCGGTTCAAAAACGAAAGTTGGAAGATTAATTTCATAAATGTTTAAACTCATTTGTTTCTGTAGATTTTTACATTTATAACCTGCAACAACCAGGCGTCCTTTTTAAAAGAAATTTTTAATGCTTCACAGTAGTCATGGAAACAGGATGTTGAATACAGAAGTGTTTTGAGGAAGAGGAATACAGAATGTCTGTAAACTATAAATAGTCATTGATAAAGAATATGACTGCACTGAATGCTGTGTCTCAGCATGTAAATAGAAAGATGAGTGGAAGAAAAAGGTCTGTAAGCAGCATGAATAACTGCAGTCTAGGAGGAGTTTGTAGCAAAGCCTGTATTACCAAAATAAGGCCAAGAGGCTGTGCTTCAGGAGGCACAACATACAGATTAATCCAGGATAGCAGCTGCAGTATTCCTTCTGAAAATAAAATTATAATTTTATTTGAAAATAACAGTTGCAGAGTCTGGAGGAAGAGCGTAGAGACACAGAACACCTGTTGCTTAAGTCTGGTGTGAAGTTTCAATAGTCAGTGATGATTTAGATTAGGGGTCTTCAACTGAGGCAAAGGACCCCAAACCGATGGCGAGATGGAGCGGGGACCCCTAATTATATATATTGTATGAAATTGCGTTGCATCAAACTGGTCCTATAGTCACTCTATTACAGATGGAGTAATATAACTAAAGTAATCCCTCCCTGGGATTATTAAAGTATTTCTGATTCCTGGTTGATGGGACAGGTGTTATGAATGAAACGGTGCCCAGCTTTGAAAGAGCTCCTGTGTGTCGCTGAATGTGTGCATTGATGACTGAAAGACATCTTCTGCCTCCATTTATCTGTTCACTACAGTGTGTTTAATTCATGTTAATGTGGATTTAAAGACATTTCAATTAGTGGAAAAAATTGCAGTGGAGAATATAAACAAAAAGTCTAATCAACCAAAACTTTTGCGACCCCATGCAGTACCTCCGTTGACCCCCTAGGGGTCGCGAACCCCCTGTTAAAGTCCTCCAATTAGGGTATCAAGTCATCTGCTGGTTCCGGTCGGCTCTGTTTTAAGAAATCAGCAATCAATTCAGCCAAGTACCTGGAAATTGTAGAGACATCATGTTTTTCCTACTGCTGTCCGGCTGAATTCATTTTCCAGCAGGACTTGGTGCCATTTCCTAAAAGTATCTCAAAAAAGCTTCTGAATCTGTTTGTGCATCGCACATTTTAAATTGAATTACTGAAATAGATTAACTTATTGATGTTGATCTAAGTTATTGAGACTTAACTGTATATATTTATTAACCAAAGACATTAATGACAATCTGGATCTGTTCTGAATTTGAATTAAAATCACAGCTATAAGTTGAGTTTACAGAGCCAGCTGCTGACTGATACCGATAATAAGACCCCCTATTTTATTTTTTGTTTTTTGCAGAATCCGTTGACGACAAAGAAAAACACAACTGTCGTTCCGCCAAGGGAACGAGAGACGGAGGGACGTAATCCAGTTCGTGTGAGAAAGAGAGACTTGGAGGGCAGAGAAGCACAAAGTGACCTCCAGACACTGGTATGAAAACTCTGATATGTTAAAGCACATTTTACACATCATCTCCTGTATTTTTCTTTCACCATTGTTTCCAAAAGGACTATTCTTATTGCGTCTTGACAAAATGAGAACTAAAAGGAGACCTTTTCATTTTTTGCTGTCATTCTGTTTCCTGAATGTTTATTTAATTCCGGATTATAATTTGAACGAGTCTTCATCTCTGTTTGTTTAGGACTGCGGCACAGCAGAATGTTTGAGGCTGAGATGTCAGGTCGGTCGTCTGGAGAGGACAAAGAACGCCATACTGTTCATCTACTCCCGACTCGACGTCAATAACTTCCTGAGGGTAAAATAATAAAAATAAAGCTAATTCTAATGCTGCTTGTTACATCCAATATCACAATGCCGCTTCATTGTTCTTCATTTGCTTTCCTTTTTCTGCCCAGGCTGAGAATCAGAATCGTTCTTATTTGGTCCGTTCTACAGCCTCCTTTAATGTCATAGAGATGCCATATAAGAATCTGAAGACAGAGCTGCCGTCCAATTCTACCACCGTGAGTTCAGTATAAACAATCAGTCGTCAGCATACAGTTTAACAGCAGGGGAATTTTTGTGATTGAAATATCTCTGCTACGATAGAGGTATAAGGTTAAGTGGCCTTTTGAGCATCGACAGAATTTGCACAACAAAATAAATTATTTTAGATGAATAATTTCTGAATTTTAGTTTGTTTTCCTGTCATGGTACTTTAATATCTAACCGTTCCATCTTTAACTGTCAAAACCTGACAGAAACAAAGGGAACTGCACAACACTTTATTTCAATTCAGTTTATTTATATCTGCCAGTTCACACGTAATCACAAGGTATCTATAAGAGACAGTACAGTCAGATTGGTTAAAAGTTTCTGTCTAGGAAAACCAGTTGGTTTCATCCAGTCTTTGAAGTGGAGATAAAAAAACTCCTATTTAACATGAATAAACCTCCAGCAGAACTAGAACCAGACTCAGTGTGAGCAGCCATCTGCGGAGGCCGACTGGGGTTCAAAGAGACAGAAACAGACACAGAAAAAGAAGCAGACATACAAAAGTTAACTGTTATCTGGCTCCACGTCACAGCCTGACACAGCCTGGCAGACGAGCTCAGAGACAGTTCTCATTTCAAAAGATGAAAGAGAGTACATAAATTGTAAAGAGAGGTGTTAATGGCAGCAGCATAGCTGATATTCCGATCCACGACAAAGTTCCCGCCGAACAGGAACAGACCAGATAATGCTACTATGACAGGAAAAGGCAAAACATAAAGTTATGAGTGGAACCTAACAAATACTGCAGAATGAGAGAATATAGATAGACTGAAGCAGGATGAGGAAAAGTGGTCCCTATGTCCTCCAGCAGTCTAAACATATAGCAGCATAAATATAGAAAATAGCTAAAATAGCTGAGGTGTTTTAAATCAAAGTTAAAAACAGGTTTTTAACTTTGACTTAAAACAGCTCAGGCTTTTAGCACTTTTCCAGTCTTATGAGAGTTTGTTGCAGATCAGTGGAGCATAGGAACTAAATGCTGCTTCTCCATGCAGGGTTCTAGTTCTGGGTCTACAGAGTAGGCTTGATCTCGAAGACCTGAGTGGTCTTGATTGACTTTGGTAGAATCACAGTAGGGTCAAAGTGGAGCCGAACCTTAAACTGTTCATCGGTCAGAGATTTATTCCCTGCTTTTGTTTCTAGGTCAGCGTGTCGGTGACATGGGCTGACACCGCCCAACCAGTACCGGGCTGGGTGGTAGCTCTGGCCGTCCTCGCAGGACTGCTGCTGCTGGGGTTGCTCATTTTCATCATGTACAAGGTGAGACGGCTTTAAAGAAGGTTTTACTAAATGTGCTTCTTATCAGCATTCTAAACTTTAGTTTTTTTGCTACATTTCCACATCAGATTTTACAGTATAGCATTCAAAGGTAATTGATTTGCTAGAAATCAGGACTGGAAAACTTTACTGTATCGTTTCTAGAGTTATTTTATGAGTTCATTTTTATCATGGCTCAAATTTATTTTAGTTTCTTTGATTTGTGATGCCGATAATTTGCTATTCAAATGTTTTTCTAGGCTTCTACTTTTCTTTACGGCTGCTCCATTTCTTTTTTATGAGGCCCTTGAAGTTCTCTCGCTTTAATTTCTTCTGCTTTACCTACTTTAATTTTATACATGAAGAAAGGATTCTTTTAAAATGACTCAACATCTTTTTTTCCTTCTTTTTCAGTTGGGTTTCTTCAAGAGAGTACGCCCCCCCCAGGAGGACTGCACCGAGAAGGAGCAGCTCCAGCCGGAGGAGAACGGAAACACAGACGCTTAGAGGCCGAGATGGAAAACAGAGAGAGAGAGAGTTTGGGAGAGAAGAATTCAGGGTAAACCAGCCTCAGAGAGAATCACTGTAATGACTGTTTGAGGGGCAGATAACGGTACTTGTTTGACTTCAACCCTTCTTTTGTTATTTTATATTTTTCTTTTGTTGAATCATGTTGCATTTGTGCCAAAAGAGAAGCTGAAAACACTGTTCATATATGAAATACTGGCTCAAGATCATTTCACCTCCACATTATGTGTGCAACCTGTATCCACAACACTGTAGCACTTATTTGATTATTCAGTGTTAAAACCTGTTGTGGTTGAGTTCCCTGCTCCATCGCTGTGCTCCTTAAATATTTGAACTATGTTTCAAATAGTCCCAACGTTATTTGTCCAAAGGCGTGATGCTTTTTGGAGTGGAGCACACAGGGTTCATCCCTCCAACACATTTGCACATTTCCTCTTTTTTTCCGTTTAGTAGCAAAATTAAATGGTTGATGAGCTGTTTGGATTGATGGGTTAGTGGTTCTTTAGTGCAGAGCTGCTGATGCATCAAAAATTTGTCATTTTTCTGGGTTATTATGACTTATGTGAGCTTAGTTCCAGCTGGATAGTAAAGCCCAGAGTCAGTGGCTGGATGGGAGGGAAACAACAGCAGGAAGAAGAATAAAAGTAGAACCAGTGTGAATAATAGTAAGAGCCAGCGCTAACTTCCATGTTTGAGTGGAGTCATTTAATTCATTAGGACCAAGACCAGCAATAAAAACAGCAATATGAATACAAACATTGGAGGTATCTAATTTAAGAGGCTTCAATATGAATTATTTTGTCAAATATCACAGCAATATTTTTCCTGTTACCTTTTCTGCTTTCTTTTGGTGAAAAGTTTCCAGGGTTTCCTCTCGTGTGTGTAAATGCATTTTTGTGCAATCGGTGATGGTGATTACAATAATGGGTCCAGCTGTTTTTAGCGCAATCGAGAAAGAGTTTTTATTGCAGTTAATCAAAGCGTTTTCCTTGACGTGTGCAACTGATCAGTGGTTAAACCCTGAACCCCAGGAGCCTGCTGTGACTGGGCTTAGAGGCAAACCTCAGTAAAAAGAGGAATTTAGTTATTTTTATGTGGAAAAAGTGTTCAGAACTGCAGATGAGGAAAAACCTAATTACCAATTACCCTGTAGATTAAATGTTGATGCGATAACGGAGGAAAGTCGATGCACTGCTCTATATCTGGGAGTTTAATAAGAGTTTTGTTGTATAATAAAGAAATAGCATAAAAATGTCCAACTAGGAGCAAATCAGTACCTATGAAGCTGTGGATGATAAGTAAAGTGATTTAGTTAAACTTCAATAATATAAAAATATATATGACCTTTTTATCATTATAAATCATGCAGCCAAGAAGGGAAGCACAAAATTGGCTTAAAAAATAAAATTTCTTAACTGAGCTTTTTGTATGATGAAAATTGTGCAACAAAGAAACAGTCATTTTTTTCTTTTTGATAAGCCCAGATTTAATGCAATAATAAATTGATGACACTTAAATAAACTCTTTAAATATGCAGCTGCTTCTCTAATGATTCCATTGTGCATCTATTCCGCTTAATACTACAAAATAAAAGCAATAAGTTTAATTATGGCATTTACTAGTGCTCTGATAAAACCAGCAGATGTGAAAGTGTGTGGAAAAATATACAATAATCCAAACTTTTTAGACAGTTTGTTTGTTAGACACCCATCTAATGAACAGTGCAATTTCATTTTTATGTCAATATTGACTTTCTTTATCTCACTCATTTAATACAGAGGCCTCTGTCCAAGGTGCTGAACACAATAAACACAAAAGGTATATTAAATAATCGGTAGGGTTTATAGATCAGAGATAGAATGTTTTGTTTTTTTTTACCCCAGCAGTGTTCTCACGTCGAGGGGTTTGATCAGTGGTCAGTTGTTACTTTCCTGCCATTTTCTGCACTGAGGCCTTTTTTTGTCCTTTTTTCTTATTTTTTCCTCAGATTTTATACTGGTGATTGGCAGCTTCACTATTAGCATAAAAACTCAGCCGGTTGCTATTGTATGTTTAATGAGTCCAGCAATGCTTGAGTGTGTGTGTGTGTTTGTAATGTATTTAAAAAAAAAGAACAAAAAAAAAAAGCTATTTGCCCATATTGGGTTTGCATATTTCGATAACTTCATTTCAGCGGCAGATGTTGGGCGAGCGCACTAAGAACGATGTAGCTTAGCCAGTTTATCCCCCACAGGCTGGATGTTAATAAAACATTTACACATCGAAGGTAAGCTGATCTCTGAAGCCTTTGTGGGTTTTTTCTTATACATAGAGCAAAGTCCTTCTAAATATTTCATTTTAGGCAAATCCAGTTTTATTTCTAAGCAGAAAAGCTGACTTTGCTGACTGATCCTCGCTTCTGACCAGACGGCTAACTTTAGAGGCCAGGACAGTTATAATCATTGTTTACAGGCCATGTTTGCTCACAGTAACTCCTTATAAAAAATAGAAACGATCTGCAGAGTGAAAAAAACTTAACATTTTAAATCAATCTTCATTTGGTGTAATGATTCAACAGGCCTGGATAGACTCTGTGTTACTGTAATGCAGAACTGTTGCTTTTTTTTCATCAGTTTTTTTTTTATCAGACGCTGAAAGGCATGACTCGTATATTGTAGGATAGAATAATAATAAATAGAAGAAAAATTGTGTTTTTTAAGGAGTTTGAATCTACTTCAGATTTACTCTTATAAACATGGGGTTAAAATGATACAGACAGGCTGTGTCGTGAACACATCACCGTTTGATTAAAGGTTTCTCAACCCAGTCCACCTTCTATGAACCTGAGCAAAAAAAAACCACTAACAGAAATAAAATCATTGAATCAAGGAGTCATTTCACTGCCTTTCAGAGCATTTAAATCGAACCCATGGAAATAAAATTTACAATTTTACTTAGTGGAGTTATGGTTAAGAACCATATTTTAATATAGAATAATCTAATCTGCAACTTTTTGGATTATACAGATTTTAACTCATTTTAAAGCCCTTCCACATCCTTAAGAACTGGGAAGCTGTCTTTACCACACTGTTGAGTTGTAGGTCAGCTTCGACATTTCCTGGTTTCATTAAATTAATCATAGACCCTCACTCAATCCAGAATATCTGAAAGCTGATGGAAAGTTGAAGCAAATTAGAAAAGTATTACATTTTGACATGAAAATTTGGTGGAAACCAGAGAAAGTCCTCAATAAATAAATTATTTTGACCTGTCTTTTTTTTGTTTTGTTTATTTTTAGACCTTGTTGGTACGTTCATTCAAGCCCATAAAGCTTGTTGTCTGTTTTATGAGGCGTTCATAGATTGGTCTACAGGGCAACCAATAAACTTCTTTCATTTAGTCACCATTTCTTCTTTATTCTAAGAGATTCACCATGGTTACCGATCACTCCATGTTAGCACGGCCTGTGTGAGACTGGTTCAGTTCAACTTGTAATATTAGCGACGCCGGGTGGTTCTGGTCTGAGCTGATCTTTGGTCAGAGGTATGTCGGTGGTTAACGATCGTTCTGCTCCGTGGTTTTATTTAGATGAAGTCACATCCTTTTTCCACCAGCTGGAGTCAAATCAGTTGACTGCATCACCTGCAGCTCCATCCATCACCTCACTTCCTAATTCAGGGTTTGACATTTCAACTTTAACACAGTTTAAGGTTTGGGTTAAAGAAAGATGTGTAGAAAATCAGGTCTTGTGAACCGACTGATTTGACTCCAGTCCTGCAGCCATGCATGTTGCTCTTCATGTTTAATACCACTCTGTTTTTCCTTTCTGCTATGAGTAAATATTGACTATTTTTGATGTATGTATTCTTACACTTTATAGAGAGTAAATATTAACAATTTTTAAAAGAGATGATTTCACTTTGGGCTGAAATAAACTGATTTGTTCACATTTTGTCTCTGTGTTGTTTTTTGAATGACCAACAGTTTTACAAGGAGTTTTCAAAATTCTGCCCTTCAAACATTTACTTTAAAGACAAATTTAAAAACGAAAGGTCCGGTCTGATGGACTAAATGCTCCCATGATGTAGATCTCCATAAAAAGACAGTTTGGGCGTTTGCTTCAAGTTGTTTATTTTGTTTGGTTACATCCCTCCACCTCCTGCGTCTCTTCAGCCTTTCAGGGTGCGTCTGTCAGCAGGAAGCTCAGGTCGCTGCCGGGATCGAACTCCACCGCAGGTTTCCCACTGAAACACATTCAGAGAACGAGTCCAGGTCACAGAATGAGTCGAGACTTATCTCAGGGTCTGTAAGGAGCTCTAACAATCAGTTTTATCTTAACAGTAGAACATATACAATAGAAAATACAACATCTTTAGAAAGACTTGCAGAAAAACATGCAGAAAAATAAAATATGAATAACTATAAATGTAATAACACTTTAAATTAGTTTATACTTATTTTTTTTCATTTGACAATGATGTATGGCTATAGAGGTTGATGCAGTTTTACTTAGAAAAGTAAAGAACCATGTAAGTAACTACAGCCTGCTCAGTGTTACTGACTTGTTTTCTAGGACAATACGGCTACGTTCACATTGCAGGTCTTGATGCTCAACACAGATTGTTTTTCGCAGAAACCTTTTTATTTATTTTTTTCTGAACACTAGTTCAGTGCAGCCAGTTAAAAACTTTTGGATATTTGTCTGATATAGTACCACATATGGAAGAGACATAAATCAGATTTTTTTGGGGGGGATGAAAAGATCAGGATTGGGCCGTTTTGACTGCCATGAAAAAGTTGGATATGAGTCACATCTGGATTAAAAAAAAAAAAAAATGAAACGCCTGCAGTGTGAACACGGCCTTATTGTAATTAATAAAAGAGAAATGCTTTTTTTGTTGTTCCTGATAAACAATCGTTTGTCTTTGTAAGTACAAAAACAAAACAAAAACTTTAAAAATAAATATCTTGCCTTCATGCGACAAGTGATGTATCATATTTTTTATATTGGGAGGAGGCCCGACTTTAATGTGAGTGTGCAGAGATACTTTGCTACCTCACAAACAAACACTGGGGGTTTCTTCCTGTTAAAAGGGAGTTTTTCCTCTCCTCTGTCGCTACAAGCATGCTTAGTGTGAGGGATTGTATTCGAGTCAGTGAGTCGATGCAATTAACCGGTTTTCCTTAGAAACTTTGTATCAATGTGACGATTGGCACTATATAAATAAAGTTAATTGAAATGACACAGAGACTCTGTGAGCGCAGCTGCCTTTTGTCTTTTGTATCTTGGGTTAGCATTAATCTCCATGTTTATCCCTGTAGATCCTGATCTACTGTAAACTCATGGTTTGTAACCGCTGCCTTACAGGGGTTTAAAGTTGTCTGTTAAGGTCCTGCTCTCTCTCGCTCCTACGCAGCCTTGATGAACCTCAGACGTGTCTCAGCATCTGCTGTATTATAAAGGTTCCTCTTTTCTAGTAATATTTGTGAAAAGCTCAAATATTTCTTTGACTTTGTTTTAGTCTTGTTAATTGTAAATCCCAGTAGTGCCTCTAAAGTTGTGGACAGACTGTGAGTACCTGGTGAAAAGTCGGGCCTTTGTGGTCCCTAACAGCGTGGCTTTGTTGCCCTCCACCAGCAGCATGGAGCCTTCCCTCAGCCCCTAAACACAACAGCAGAATTAAAGCAGGGCAGGATAATAAAAGCAGCCGATTGACCTCCTCTCCTGCTCCTCCGTCTCTCTCACCAGAACACTGGGAGTGTTGGGTTCTTCATGGTACTGGGTTATCCTTTGCTCCCTGGTCTCCTGCAGAAGAACACCAACAATGTCAAAGCACAAAGAGCGTTACTTTTTTGTTGTAAAAAAGAATTTTAAAAGTATTTTTATAAATACTATGTTTAATGATTCCTAACTTTAGATAATTTTTTAATTAAAATTTCTATTCTACCAATCAGAGGCCATAGTTAATTCATTGCTATATCTCTTAGTGGTGGTTTTGAGGTAGTACTGCCCTGCATGGTTTGGGTTTCTCCTTCTGCAGCTTGCAGGACGGTGGTCTGAGAACCATGATGGAAAACCATTGATGTAAAGAACAGCACAAGCATCCTATTTTTTTACTATTGTACTTCTACATATCGGCCTCTAGAGGGAGACATGGGCAAAGCTATGTTAAACTTTTTTTATTGGTTTATTAGCCTACATAATGCCAGGCTCTAAAAACAATGACTGTTAAATAAAGCACAACTGTGAAGGAAAAGATCCCCAGAATGCAGCCATGATTACAAGGATAGAACGATCCATCAGTGTTTGCTGCTCTACATACAGATCTCTACATAATTTTTATATTTTCCCTCAGATTCCTTATTGGATTTAGATCTGGGCTCTGATTGGACCATTCTAAGCTATAACTATGATTTTATCTGCTACCAAACCTTTACACTTGTTCTCCTGTTAGTGAAGCTCCAGCTCAGTCTCCAGTCTGTAAAAGCTTTTCCTTTAAATTACCTATTATACTTATAACAAAGGAATCCCCAAGTATTATGCTGCACCTCCATGCTTCACTATTAGATGGGTTTGCTGTGTCCCCCTATGCGTGTTTTGACACTCCGTAATTAGTCTGTTTCATGTCTCTGGAAACCAGCCTTTTCCTTTATTCAGGGAATCAGTTTAATTAATTTGAATTTAACTGTCAAAGAATATTTAGACAAATTTGCTTTAAAAACATCAGTAAAACTGAGACGATAGTCAAAAATTATCCAAATTATAAATGCATAAAGAAGATAAAATCAAAGATAAAATTACAATGATCCCAAGGAACATTCAGTAAAACATCTATCAACTTATCTTTCTACCAAAAGAGTTTATAAGACAGAGGTAGAGGATAAAAGAAGCAGGAATGAATCGTCTAATAGTATCGTCTAATTCAGGTAAAATCTGAATTAATTAAAATATTTTAAAATAGAACCACAATAAGATCCCAACAGAGCCAAACTCATTGACATCAGAAAAAATCACAATGTGTTAAAGAACATTTAGAAAAACATTGAAACATTTACAGGGAAATGTTCCTCAGTGATAAAACTTCAGATCCAATAATAACATAAAGACAATATTTAGCAGACTTTGCATCCT